TTGCATGTCATATGAAAATAATTACCAGCTCTCACTTTCCATGTCTGACCAATCATCCCCTTTTTTCCACTTTATGAGACCACAGGCCTTTGCCTATTTCAGACACCTGCTAAAGGTGTAATCTATTTAGAGATGAAAGAGAATATCTTTAACTGGAAGCTGGGGCATTCCAGGGGATCCTCATAGGATGAAGTCACCTGCCATAATAAAACATTAGCAGTATTTATTATAGTGAAAACGTTATCTTCCATAGTATAACATGTTAAAGTACTTCAGATACAGGCTGTCATCCTGCTCAGAATATGAGTTCAGTATTGGCACATTCCACTATGTATTTTCTGCTCTGCTTTTGTTTTGGATAACAAAAAATGTTTGTCTGCTTGTATCTATCTGCCTAAAAAGGCAAATAAGCCAAATTCCAAGGGCATTTTTTTAATTGTTGATTTTTTTGAAGGATATTTAATTAGTTATTTGCTAAGAAGCCAATGTCTTTCTAGTCTTGCTGACCTATTGCATAAGACCAAGGAAGAGACCTTGTCTTTTAACTCCATATTTCAGTAATATTGACGTCAAAATATACCTTCTTAGTTCAAGAGAAGTGCAGTTGAGATGAGAAATTTAGACAATAAGTGAGGGTCATTTCATTAAAGCAAGTGACTTATTCACATCAGGGAGGACTTCGAGTTAGACAGCCTTCATCTCTTAAGGGCCTTTGTCTACTTTGGTGGGGGGGGGGGGAGAGGGGGGCTCCATATTATCTGTTAAATGGGTACATTTCTTTTTGTACAGAATAGATTATTGGAGATATTGGTCACAAATATATACCCTTTTCTCTAAATATCTAACTTTATTGCAATCAATAGCAAAACTCTCTTGACTTCAGCTAAACTGAAGTAAGTCTTGGGTTGTGCTTGCTACAGTCAGTAGTCATTTCTGGCTTTTCAGTTTTGTGGTGTTTAGATAATTTATGGTCTCTCTCCCTTTCCAAGTAGGCTGGGTAGTTCCTCAAGAAAACATCACAACATGATATAACTGCAGAATAATAGATTTAACATCTTATGATCCAACATCACCTCACCACAAGATAAAAGATGTAGAATTTCACTCACTGATACCAGCATTCACGTCTCTACAACGGGACCAAGTGCTGATATTCACTCTTCATGTATCCACTCTTGATAACAAAGATCCTAAGGATCAGGTTCATAAGCATAAAAAGTTCCTAAATTCTCATCAAAATAATTAGTTGAATATGAATAGAACAGAGAATGTGATGGAATTCTTGGTAAATTACTTATGTGAATAACTGCCATTAGTAGTAGGCAAATGCACTTTAGTTCCAGTTTAAATTTAGCTAGTATCGGCATCCAGCTACTCTACACGGTCATGTGTTTGTATGCTACTTAGAGATGCTTTTACTGTCTGATACCTTCTGTTACTGTAGGGATTTGGAAACTGTCATTAAAATTACATGTTAACATTCTCTTTGGAAGGTTAATTCTTTGAGCTTCATAAGTTTATCAACACTCTTCCCAGGGTCTTTCTTGCCTCTTTCCTGAAACCTTTCTGATTTTGTGCCCCTGATTCAAAACCTCAGTTTGGTTTTTGTTTCTTTGAAGTGTAGTTTCACAGACTGAGGGAACAGCAGTTTCTTATTCCTTTGCAAGGCAATACAAAAAGCTTTGCTTATTTAATTTATTAAATAAATTAAAGCTCCTGATTTTATTCCCCAGGCTAAAATGCCACATCCTGTGAGTATGACATGTATTCACTGTTCAAAGAAGTATTGCACTTGTCTCCACAGTACTAAGAGACCTTCAGTGCATTTAAGCAGAATATAATGAAATTGGTTCAGCATGTAAGACAGGTGTCAGATTTTCATTATCTTTAGCCACTGCCAGTAATGATTTCATATTATATGCCATGTTATGTATTCAAATTGCTATGCTAAGTAACGATGGATGGTTTGGTGGAATTAAAATGAATTTCCCTATTCTATGCAGTTCCTCATGGATAGTTGTTTGTCAACTAGCTGTTAGCTAGATACAAACTCACTTATGTCTCCGATGTAGATTTTACCACATTGATTTTGAATTCCAAATTCTCACTGGTATTCCCTGAAACCAGATTGCTGTTCTTTGTATTTTCACTCTTTTTTTTTTTTTACTGAAGGAATCCAGAATCAATTATTTTGCCCTGTTCAATGTCTTAAGTGCTCAACGTGCAATAACTATTCTCATCCTATGTGTTTTAAATTCAGGAAAAGGTAGTTAGACTTAACTGAATCTCTAAGAATCAGATAGAGAGTGGTGAATCTAAGGGTGGTTTTTTTTTAATAATCTGAATTTTCTCTTTATTTTATAAATATTAAAACCCAACAGTTGGGTGAGAAGAGAGCAATGAAGTCAACTCCTTTAAAATGGCTTGGAAAAATGCATTTGACTTGGGAATGGTTAACATAAATACATATGGTGAACAACATCTGTAGTTATTGCCAAACTAGGAAGTAATCCATTATAAAACATGTATTCAGTCTCCCGTATTCTTTCTTATAGAAAAAATACAGAAAAATATTTATTGTGCACATTTACCCTTCTTCTGTCATTATTGCTGACAGAAAAATTCCAAATAGAATTTGACCTCATGTTGCTGACCTTCCTTTTCTGCCTGATTTATAAACTAGTTGGGACAAGAAGGTTTGGGGTTCTTTTTTGCAATTAACACTTATTGATCCTGAAGTTTCATTAATACTTTTAGCTTCCCTTATCAATTATTTGCATTCCTCTGTGTCTAATTTATATTCATTGAAATAGCATTCTGTTCCAAGATTTCAGCAGAATCTATGGCTTTAATAGGTACTAAGGGCTTTAGGGACAAAAGAAAATCCTATCACTGAAGAACTCCTATAGAATAAGACAATCTAGAGAAACACACATTGCTAAAGATAAGGACCACTTAAGCTGATGTCAGCTGATCATGCTTAATCTTCCAGTCCCTTAGGTTAACCATAAGTTGCCACAATATTTATATGTCATTCCTTCTCAAGCTTGTTTCATATTTAATATCATGTTATTTGTCATATATACCATTTTGCCTAATTTTGTACTCCAGCATACCTTGAAATATGCTATAATCTTTCAAAAGTACTTGGCCATGTCAAGATTGGACAGTGTTATTGGAAGAACGCAAGGAACTTGCACTGCTACTATACGTAATGTACTTTGTTCTGTGCAGAAAGGGGATTTTGGTCTCCAGGCCATTAATCTGGCACCTTTTATGAACATTAAATTCAAAGCCAAAAAATTTTAGCCTAGGAAATAAAGAATTCTGTATCCATTTCAAATCTCAAGGAAAATACAGTCAATAAGAAGTTAATTGCCCAGTTCAGAATTTGGCTTGAATTCCTTAACACGCTTATTCATAAAATTCAATGTGCCTAGATTTGATAACTTGCCCCTGTATGACCACACTGCAGTGTTTGCATTTTTACATGATAATATACCTGAATGTGTATTAGCATCATGCTCTGGATATAATGCACCACCAATCTCAAGTTGTAAGAAATCTTAATTTCTGCAATATTTGCTTGATTGAGTTTCTGTATGTTCATATGATTACATCTACATACATGTATATACTTGAATAGATGAGTATGGGGGGGGGTTCTGTGTGAAGCCAAGTGCTTCACCAGCCGAAAGTTAGGAAACAACAGAGAAGAGGTGAACTTCTCAGGCGTGTCTATGTGGATTGTCCTGTGGGTTGGGGATGGCAAGACAATTTATGTTTATTAAGCACAGTTTTTTTGGCCTGTATATGCACCATAAAAGCTGTATCTCATTCCCTCAGACCAAAGAGCAAGGGCAGGGTTAGTGCCCCAATAACAGACTTCCTAATGGTTGTTATACTAGGGCAGAGCAGTAAGAAACATCGCATTATAGCATTCAAGTAGATAAGGTCCACTATTGATTTCTTAATTTCATTTAGTCATCTTATATAGTTACAGATGGCTGAGACTGCCTTTTTCATATTAAGGTGTACCAGGCAAGTACGGCAGCCATCAGATGTATGGTGTCTTGCTAAATGTTTTCTCATTACTTTTCTTGTGAAAGCCTCCCTTCTTAAGGGCTTTGCATCATCTTTCAGTTTCAGCCTCTGACATTCATTGAAGAGTATTTTTTGAGGGAGAGGCTCTTGTGGACTGTCTTCTCCTGAGATTCTTGTTTGAGAACAGGTGTCTGCTCTTCTTGAAACTAGTCTCTCTTTCTGCACTACAAGTCAGAGATTGCACAGTAAGAAGGTCATGCTTCCTAGAGCGCTCAGGGTGATCCAGGCTGTTACAACTCATGGCACCTCTGGCAGAAAAACCTGCACTGGAAAGACTAAACACTTGTCACCATCCCTCTTGGCAGTCAAGAAGAGGTCAAGGAACTTCTGAGTTTATCACAGGCATTGATTCTAAGCATGCCTGTCAGCATAGGTCTGTGAGATCCATCAGCTGTGGTCACATACCACGTATTTCCATTTCAGTGATTGCGTGCTCAGCGCCATCAAATGCGGCATGTTCAGTACTGTATAATAGATAGACAACTCCTCCAACTGCTAAACTGACCATCTCAGTCCTGTCTCTTTCAGAGCAGAGTTTTCTAACTCTGGTGCATTTGCAATGCTTGCCAAGCTGGGTATCATTCCTAACTGTTATCTTTGTTCTTGGATACTTCTTCTTTGTATCTACAATTTAAAGTCTTCTTTGATGACAGCTCAGATCACCAGTAATATAAATATCATTGTAACCATTATCTCTGTTCTTTTTAGCTGCCTTTCAACATTCAGTTTTGTTTTGGGGTGTTGTTTTTTTTGTTGTTGTTGTTGTTTTGTGTTGTTTTTTTTCTAGCAGTCCTTTGTTTTAGTCCTAACTATTCACAGATCCCATTTTCAACCATCATTGCATCATATTCTCCTGGAGTTCCTAAAGACTTTAATTAAAATGTCATCTCTTCCAGACTTTGTTCCTGAGAAATCACTGGGAAAGAAGTTCTACTCATCATAGAGGGGAAAATTTGGAAGTACGGAAAATTCTCCATACTCTGTTCTGGGACATGACTGATCTTTAAAACACAATTCCTCTTAAAGTTCCTAGTAATTTCTGTTGTAGCACCATACCAAATGCTTTACTGAAATACAAACTGTCTTACATTTCTAAGAAATTTCTGTTAATATCAAAGGAAGATGTGGATGTTCTTGCACAAAGTATCTCTGATGAAGCCCTGTCCACTTTTTACCTGTTCATTTCTCACCTGCATGTAGCCTCCTGCTCTCAATTCTTCTTTCCTTTAAAGTATTCCTGAGATCAGGCAAATGCCCTTTTTTGCCTGGATCACACTTCCCTCTGTTATCTCTGGGTGCCACGTTCAAAATTTGCCAGTAATACAGTGCTTGACAGCTTTACTAACAGATTGTTACCAGGCTTACTGTTTAACAGGCCAATTTAAAAAATAAAGTAAAAATGGGGTGTGAGTTACCTTGTGATTTGAGCTAAGCAGTTTCAGTTTGTTTTTTGCTTTATATGTGCCCATTACAAATTTGCATGTGCATTCGCTCTGTAACCTTGCCCTTTATGCTCAACAGCAACTGAGGCAACATACACAGTTCATTTTTGAAGCTGTATCCTGCGTCCTATCTCACCCTTTCTGCACAACGAATAATTCTTGTTATTTTATTATTTGTATTGAACAAAGGATCTTTTGCTATTTGCTTTAAGAAAAGTCAGGAAATCCATGAAGTTCATGTGACCCAATGTAACTCAATGCCACTCAATGCAGTAAATGGCAATTTTTGCTCTTCTTAGTCTCCAAACTGCAGTCTCACTCACGCACACTTAGTTCCTTTTCTATAAAAGTGTCTCTACATAATTCTAGTTTTCTCATGGTATCTTTGTCCACTCAGTTAGGTCTGGAGCCTTTGCCATTTGTCTTTTATGGAATACGGGTCCATGGTTAAAGAAAAGTAGATTTTGTGTCTATTAAAGTCCTGGGGATTGGCAGAGAAGGACAAGGCATGAAAGCTGTGAGAATTTTTTAAGATTTCCCAAGCTGCAACAGAGCAAAAATCAAACTGAAAGTTCAAAAAAAATGAAGCTGTGGATAAAACAGTCACTTTGTGGCATTTCCTACTTCAACAATTTATTTTTTTTTCCTAAATGTTCATACTATTATTATTTGACAATGTCATTTGAAAAGTCTTTCAAGCCCCATTTTCAATTTTTGAATGATTGGCACTTCTTCTAGGACAGAAATTGCAGCTACTTTTCTTATCTTTGTTTCCCAGTAAAGATATTCAGGAAAACTGCCCTTTTCTACTAAGCTTCAGTTTAGACAAATCAACATTCTTGTCTGGAAAAAACCTGCATATGATCAAAAATTTTCCATCCAAATAATTTCATCTGAGTTTTATTCTCCAGAGCTGCATTATAATGCAATGTCATATTAAGCCTCTACCTTCTGTCACTTGGCTGTCCCTCTTATTTGACAAGATGCAAGTTCATTATATGCTGTAGTATTCTTACTCTGAGGACTTAATCATACAAGCTAAGGTATAAAAAATGTAGCAATTTGCCTCCTGGCAGTCTTCCTATTCTGTATTGTATTCAGTTAAAGTGATATGGATTATTTATTTTTATATATATTTATGTGTATTTTATAATCTTATTATGATATTTCATCAGCATTAGATGAATGGTATTTGTGTGAATGGAAGAGGCTGATGAAGACAGGGTTCTTTATTTTGTCAGAACATGCACCAGTATGTCAGAAGCTGAAAGGGTTAATACTGGGATAGAGATTTTGGGAAATATTTGCTTATTTGGGAAATAAGCAAGGCCAAACTTCTGGCCAGATGCAGTTATTAAGGTTCCCAGTTTAAAGATGCTTTCTACAAATGACCCTCTTCAGTCTTTGACCAGTTCTTACTTGACAGTCACAACCTGCTGATCCAACTTTCCATCAGAGTTCTTACCTGCATGGCATCCTTCCCAAGGCCTTCCTGCAGAGCAAAGGTGTGATATTTAGAAGTTGTCACCCTTCACTTCTGAGTTAATGGCAACCAACTACTGGGAAAAAGATTGTGCCATCAGTGAAGCGCATAATGCTGTCTCATTTGTGATGGTAGAAGGATCAGGTGGCTTCAAAACTGAATAACTTCCACAAGTCTGAATGGTATTCTAACTCTTGTCTGCTTAGTTTCACCTTTTCCTCTGTAGACAAAAAGGTATGTGTACCTCAGTGAAATCTAAAACGTGTCCGTTCTTTGCATGTTCCGTAGGTAGTGACAAACAGTGCGGAAGTTCTTGCCTAGTGTGGAATCAGCATGCCTTACTGGTTGTGAACTGTTGTGCAGTATATGAGGTTCTTCTTTCCAGACCTTCCAGTGGAAGCTGTAAGTCTCCTGAGAACAGCAGCTTAGCAGATAGAGTGCCCTTCTTTTTACTGTTGTTCAGCTCCTAAATAAAATTCATTTATGGCTCTTGTTTCTTTCCAAGTAATTTGTATCTTGAAACCTAAGACCACTAACTCATAATTTGCACATTTCTGGTCAGGAAAGTCTTGAATATGAACTCTCACAGAGGCTGAATTATCTCTAGCCTCTTGAGAAACAGTCCCCCCCAGGTCACTATTGAGGTCATTATTAGAGTGTTTTCTAAATGCTCGTTGGTATTTGGAGTTTATTGTTTGCTTGTTCTTGGGGGATTTAACCCTGCAAACTGCTGGGCACTTCTGATAGATACTGAGCACCATCAGCTTTCATTTGGATTAAGATAAAATTGAGGACACTACTCAATCTGTCTTGAAAAAATTCAGTATTTTGTAAGATTGAACCTTGACCACCCTTTTTTCTTTTTTTTTTCTCCCTCTTTACAGTCCCTGAAGAATCTTGACTTTAATTACAAAAATTCTGCTGAAGTTCAGGCAGAATGAACCCTAGTATATGCCAGTGGTATTTATAACTGGCCGTCAACGGAGTATTGAATTGCTGAATCTGGGGTTTTAATAGCTTTTTCTAGATCAGTACAAAAATATTATTTAAATCCCATGTAATGTAAATGTAATTAAAATATACTTCTAATGCAAGAGAGTGCATGCAGAAATTGTTGGATATCTCTCCTGTACTTAGAGGGGGCAAAAAAAAGACATTGGGCTTAGGAGCTCTTTTTAAAGTCTAGTGAGGGCTTAACATTTCTCTATACACTCCTTGAAATTAGAGATAACCAAATGATGAGATAAGTGGATAGCTCTTTTTTTTGTTGTTTTTAATTCAGTGAAGGCCTCCCAGTGCATATTCCTGTTGGAGTTGATGAATAGCTCCTTTGGGATACTGTAAGCTCCACTCAGTGTATTTATGGAATACCTTCCATTTACACAGACCCCATTTTTCTTGATCAGCCCATAAGGATCAGGGCAGAGAAAAAGAAGCAGTGGGATTTTTTTTTCCTTTTTCACTTCTAGACAGTTGTTTTATGCTCTGTTTTATGATTGTGGCAAAACTGAAGCTGCTGGGATTCAGCCTGGCCTTAACCCTGAAAGATAACATCCTCCCAAACCCTAAAGCCATCCAGTTAAAGGGTCCATTAGCCGTTGCTTTTCCCTTTTAGATGAAACAGTCACACTGTGTAAAAGAAGACTTACTGGGAATTAATAGAAAGAAAGGCCTCCTTTCAGCCCAGCCCAAAAAACAGCAGCACAAATTTTGATGCACTGTCTTTTTCAGCTGTAGCTCTAACATAGTCTCAAATGCCTCTCATCTTTTCTTTACAAGGCGACCAGCAGCAGATCAGTGCACTGCAATGCCACCGTTTAATCTCTGTAATACATACTGAGGTTGTGTGAGTTGACCTAGGGTTGCACTTCTCCCGCATGGGCTTCTCTAGCTTTTCAGACCTGCTTGATGGCTGAAATACAGTGGCTGTAGTACTATTGGTGAGAGGGGGCATGAATTACAGGTAGTAACACATGGTCCATAATGAACTCCTCTCCTGTAAGCAGTGGGAGGTGAATCTGATTCACACACTCAAAGCTAAATAGATTTCAAGTTTTGAGGTAAAGAAGAAATCTTCATCTGGGTCATGGTAATGGATGATGGGATTTTTTTGTTTGTTTTGCCTTCTTGCAGCAAAACTCATTCTTTAAGTCTTTAAATCGTTGTACCCTAAAATGATGGTTGCCCCCAGTACTCAGATGCTGATGATGCTTGATGCTGTGTTCCTTCTATGGCACATTACAGTTCTGGATGCTCATTGTTATTCATCATCATTCTTAATGGTGCTGCATAGGAACTGTTTCATAGCCTGTGACATGTGGAGTAGATGTTCTATGCACTGTTTGCAATTAAACATCTAATTCATAGTAGCCTGCAGTGCAAAGAACGGCTCACAGATGGTTCCAGATGGTCCTTTCCAGTTCTGTGTTCTCACGTTTCTATTACACTTAAAGGGTAGCAGCAGCAAAAGGTAACTGGCAATCTCTGTAACTTCTCTGCCTTGGATTTACAATGCTTTTTTATCTCCATTTCCTTTGAAAGAAGGAAAATTGTTACTAGAAATGCAAAAATGAAGATTGAAAAACAAGGTTAAAAGAAATAGTATGAGAAATCATTTTGCTGTAGTTGGTGAGAAGGCTCTCACTGCTGTATATATATCATTTTGCTTTAAATAGCACTGCTTTGCTCCAACTACCAAACCAAGAGCTCACCAAATGTTTTCATTCTTCAAACAGCATGTAAGATTAACGTATTGCTTCTTCTCTGGCACTGGTAGATCTAAATTGCATTACAAGGAAGTATCAGCATTTTCCAAAACTGTACAGATGTGTGTCTATATCTATGTCTTTATCTGTACCTATATCTTGCTAATAACTTGCATATGAAATGCTCCATATCTTGCAAAACAGACATATGACACTTTAGCTGCTGCGTAAATACTCCACACTGACGTTCCCACATGCTTTACGTAACATACACGCATGCTCTAATGCGGAGGAATGAAGCAACCTGGTAGCAAGAACCCTCAGACCAAAGGGGGGTACTGAAATGCAGAAGTGGGAGAGCAACAGATCTGTGACAGGAAAGGTCCCAGACCTTCTCTGCAGCGAGTAACTGGTGCACAATTACCACAGTAATCCATCAGCTGAGCGTACAGCTTGTCCATGTCTGACAGGCACACACAAAATATATCCTAGTTAGCAAGGCCAGGGTAGTACTGAAGAGCTCACTTTCCACGAACTGCGTAACATTGAGTTTCATGCTCCTTTAGTCATTAGTTACAGGGATAAGGATCCAATTAAGACCATCTATGTTTGGAAGCTCCCACTTTGGGAAATTTTTATGTCTATGTTTCTGGGACTGTGCCTGTAGTTGTGACTCCTTGTATTAGAGTTGGGGCTGAACAAAACTCTAAATCCAGAATTAGGGAGACACAGGGTGGAATTTTGTAGCTCAGGCCCATCTCTGCTGTAAGAGGTTGTGTGGCTGTGGATGAATGGTG